AAGATTTCCGAAATTCGCAAATTTTTGAAATAGTGAAACAGCTGCACGAAAATGCTCGTAACCTTGAAACAAATTGTCATATAAACTTAAAATCGGATTTAATTTAATTCTGCTTAATATTCTAATAAGCTATAACAATCTGATTAGTAAATAATTAACGAGGGTAAATTGCGAAAAAATAACATGAAGTGAAAATAGCAGTTTTGTGATAAAACATAAAGAAGTGAGCTAGTACAGTTACTAGAAGACTTACATTGAAGAGCAAAAAACTTATTCACAGTTGAACAGATGAAAACACTGTACAAGTGTTGCAATATTCTTGGGTAACATAAAAAGACGAAAATATGTACTCACCGAAGTCAAGCATCACTGGCTACGGTCAGTGTGCGGGTGGGTGACCACTTGGATCAGTCTGCGTAGGGACCGAGGGTGTGCGGTATTGGTCCTCGTTAAACTGTGCTACCGTAAATTGCTCGACTTCGCGCGCAGGTCGTCGGGCTACCGATGCGGTGGTGCCATCCCCTCCGCAGAGGATCAAAATTGTGATGGCATGTCTTCGGATCATCCTCCGGGATGTTTCTCAGACCGTCGCCAATAGTCCAGTGTGCAGCTCTAGTGCGACGTAAATTAACAATAACAACAATAACTGTCTGTACATCTGGTTCCATTCCAGGTAGATATATTAATTTTATTTCTGTAAATACAGTAGAACATCACTTCCGTTATTTTAAATTCATTAATTCCTAAGAGTCTTTATTTACAATTTTATGCATTTACAATTAGCATTTCTCAGTTTCTGCTGCCATAAAGAAATAATTCATGAAATCTTTAAGTTAAAATGCTCTCTTTTTACTGCTTTTTATATAGATTTGACCATATTATATGAGTTACAAATTGACTTTTTGTTATTTGATGACGTTAGTTTAGCAAATCTACTATTTGAAATATTTGTTGTTTCTTGTGTTTTATTTACTTTTCTACTATGATGGTCTAAATTGAGTTTTACAACTGTTTACATTTTAAAATGTATTAATTTTATTTTAATATTATTTTACGACACTCAAATTGACAAATTAAAAAGGATACTTTTATAGTTTAACTACTTAGAATTGACCATTTAATTGGAGTAACAAATAAGCACTTTGTTAGTTGTTTTGATTTTACATAGCATATCTGCAATTTTTGTTACTTCTTTAGTTTTTTATTCTTTCTATCTACTAATTTGCTGACCCTTGGCCTAAATTAAGTTTCAATATGGGTTACATTGTGAAAATGCAATGGGTACTTCATGATTTAATTTTAAGGTTATTCATTTTTGAGCTCAGTTTAACTATTTATTATATAGTAAATATTCTATACATTTCTATATTGATTTCTTAAAAGATAAAATGTAATAATTTTTTATTTTTAAATTTTTCAAAAATGTAGGTGTAATATCAGTAGTATATTTTATTTAAAATTTGGTTTAAGTATTCATACTTAACATTATATGATTATAAAAATTCCTATGCTATTAGTAGTTTTGATTTAAATTTGTGATTTGGAGTTGTGTACCTGTTATATTTAGTTGTATATTAATTAAAATTCATTATATTTTAATAACTCTTTAGATCATAATTTTTTTTCAAAAAAAGGTTTTATATTACTTGTTTATGTAAAATATTGAAGGATTACAGCTGTTTTAAACCCTTAAATTTGTTAAATTTATTTTTCTTGCTTATTGTTTTTTAGTTATCATATGTTTGAAAAAGATTTATTATAGCTTGAATGTATTTTAGTTATCACATATTTGAAAAAAAATTATTATAGGTTGAAAATCTTTATTACAATCTATATTATCAATTAGATTGTAATTATAAGATGCTTAAAAAAAGTTGTTTTAATGTTTGATATTTCTCTAGGAAAAAGTGTTACTCGGGAGAAAAAAAACATATATATTCTTGGGCAATGGGAAGATTTCCCTATCATGATCTGTAGCTGAATAATCTACAAATATTTTCAACTTCCGGGCAGTGGTTTACAAGGTACTGGACACATTACAGACGAGGACCAACTTGAAGGATATATATCTCATAACCTCCAATCAAGTTTGTAATCTCTTTTTTTTTTTAAATTGAGATTTTAAAATCTATTAAATGCATTGGCAATTGCAGTTTGCACGACAGGTTCTTGTGATATGGAAAAATTCCTGGAGAGATTTCATTTACTATCCAGGGTTTTAGTTTTTGCATCAAAAGCTGGTTTTGGCACGACATGTCAAAAACCTGTCGAAAAGTATAGTAAACTGTTTGTCAAAATGTGGCAAAAATTTATAAAAACCAGTGACAAGTTTCTTTTTTGTCATTGAAGATATTTTATTAAACACCCATCTACATAATTATTTCAATCATGCATAATAATTTGCATTATAATTACTAATATAATTATTATTCATATTATACATCATATATTAAAAATGTATCTAAAATAATTTATTTGCTTTCTTAATGACTAATGTATTATTTATATTTTAAGGTTATTATGTTCGATATATTATAACTGTTAAGTTTACATTACAGATAATTACTATTGTTCTAATTGTTGAGTTGGTAGTTGTTATTCGTCTGAATATTGATGGTACAATTTAGACAGATTTCTTAGCTTAATTAAAACTAAAGTTGTCACTAATAATTCTATAATCTTAACCTGTGACTTTTTTTTTGTAATTCACATTATATTTGTTTTTCATGCTTATGTGTGCAGCGTGAAAATAATAAGCAGACCACCCAGGATGATTTTTGATCTAATGATCAGATCTTCACATTCTCTGACTCAGTCCTAATGGTTTGAAAGGGTGATCTCAAATATGGCAATGAATTAGTGCAGATGACATTTTAAGGTACAACCTCCAATCAAGCTTGTATATCTTTTTTTTTTTAAATTGAAATTTTAAAATCTATTAAATGCATTGGCAATTGCAGTTTGCACGACAGGTTCTTGTGATATGGAAAAATTCCTGGAGAGATTTCATTTACTATCCAGGGTTTTAGTTTTTGCATCAAAAGCTGGTTTTGACACGACATGTCAAAAACTTGTTGAAAAGTATAATAAACTGTTTGTCGAAATGTGGCAAAAACTTATAAAAACCAGTGACATGTTTCTTTTTTGTCATTAAAGATATTTTATTAAACATCCATCTACATAATTATTTCAATTATGCATAATATTTGCATTTTAATTACTAATATAATTATTATTCATATTATACATCATATATTAAAAATGTATCTAAAATAATTTATTTGCTTTCTTAATGACTAATGTATTATTTATATTTTAAGGTTATTATGTTCGATATATTATAACTAAGTTTACATTACAGATAATTACTATTGTTCTAATTGTTGAGTTGGTAGTTGTTATTCGTCTGAATATTGATGGTACAATTTAGACAGATTTCTTAGCTTAATTAAAACTAAAGTTGTCACTAATAATTGTATAATCTTAACCTGTGAATTTTTTTTTGTAATTTACATTTGTTTTTCATGCTTATGTGTGCAGCGTGAAAAAAATAAGCAGACCACCCAGGATGATTTTTGATCTAATGATCAGATCTTCACATTCTCTGACTCAGTCCTAATGGTTTGAAAGGGTGATCTCAAACCTGGCAATTAATTAGTGCAGATGACATTTTATGGTACAAAATCAGATGGATTAAGGTATTAGACTCCCAAAATATTCTGAAGAATTAGGATTTCTGACCCACAATCGTGGAAAAGGTCCCAATAGTTTGGTCAGGAGAGTAGTCCAAAATTTGTACCCCTTGATGTTAAGTTTTATATTTCGAATATTTCGTCATATCTGAAGAACTTNAAAAACCAGTGACAAGTTTCTTTTTTGTCATTGAAGATATTTTATTAAACATCCATCTACATAATTATTTCAATCATGTATAATATTGCATTGTAATTACTAATATAATTATTATTCATATTATACATCATATATTAAAAATGTGTCTAAAATAATTTATTCCCTTTCTTAATGACTAATGTACTATTTATATTTTAAGGTTATTATGTTTAATATATTATAACTATTAAGTTTATATTACAGATAATTACTATTGTTCTAATTGTTGAGTTGGTAGTTATCCATCTGAATATTGATGGTACAATTTAAGCATATTTCTTAGCTTTATTAAAACTAAAGTTGTCACTAATAATTGTCTAATCTTAACCTGTGATTTTTTTTTTTGTAATTCACATTATTTGTTTTTCGTGCTTATGTGTGCAGCTTGAAAACAGACCACCCAGTATGATTTTTGATCTAATGATCAGATCTTCACATTCTCTGACTCCTAATGGTTTGAAAGGGTGACCTCAAATATGGCAATTAATTAGTGCAGATGACATTTTAAGGTACAAAATCAGATGGATTAAGGTATTCTGAAGAATTAGGATTTCTGACCCACAATCGTGGAAAAGGTCCCAATAGTTTGGTCCATGGGTGCAAGTCTTCCGTCCCCAGGACGGATTTCCGTCTTTCGAAAATGTCCGCGGATGGAAACAAGACTGACTCAAAGACGGAAATCGGAATTTTTTTTTTCTGTCCTTAAAAATACTTTTTAGGTCTTGGTCTATTTTCTTATGTCCTGTTGTTATTTTATCAAAAGACAGGTGAATAAATATTTTTTGTACAGTATTTAAACTTGATGTATTATGGTAAAGCTTTCTTAGATAGTTTGCATATGTCGAGGGGGTATTGTGTATGTTAGGTATTTCAGTCCAAAAAATTTCAGTCTTGGCCTTTTTTCCAACTTGCACCCATGGTTTGGTCAGAGAGTATTCCAAAATTTGTACCCCTTGATGTTAAGTTTTATATTTCGAATATTTCATCATATCTGAAGAACTTTTTAGTCGAATTGAAAATTTTTTGCCCACAATTATTAAGTTGGTTTATCCAACGATAATTCGATGCCAAAAAATAACT